ATTTATATAGATTTGGGCACTAGCCGGTATCTCTTTTTCTTTCCATTGTTGGGCGAACACTATTCTAGTTGCAACTAAAATATGTAGCGTGAGATACCATTTTTTCTTACTCAGCCCCTCTGGACGAATACCTAGTAAATATATCTCAGGTTTCCATTGGAGGTCCACATTAGTAATTTCCTTAATCCAATTCCTCATCCTTCTCCAATACTTCTTTGCCATTATACAAGTCCACCATTGATGGAAATACGTACCTCTGGTTTCCCCACATTTCCAACATAACTCTGATGCACCCGGAAACATTTTAGCAATTCTTGCTGGTGGGAGGTGCCACCGATACAACATTTTATATGCATTTTCTTTGAAAGACGTTGCCGTAGTCATTTTAATATTTTCCCCCCACATTTGTTGCCATTTTTCTAAAGGAATAGAGTACCCAAAATTCCTCCCACAGGCAATCATAAGTATCTTTTACAACGTCCTCTCCTATCATTCGCTCAAGCAATTGTGCATACATTTTGGTTATGTATTTATGGTCCTCTCCCAATAATATTTTATCAAAACTCTGTTCCATCACATATATCCCATAGTTATCTCTCTCTCTCCTGTAACGAGATTGAACTGTAGTGTAGATCCACCCATCTAGCCTGATTCCTTTGTCAGCCAAATCTCCCCTAGATCTTAATATCCCTTGAGCATCCACAAGATCAAGTCATTACTTTAGTGTCTTTTTAATGGCATTTTATAGTTTGTGGCTTTTATATTTCATTTCCAGATTAAAATTTAAAATTTTCTTGCTCAAACTGTTTTATAGAAGAAATGTCAGTGTTCTGCATCTTAACTGCTTAACTTAACTGCTCCATTATTTTCTCTTTTTTTCTTTTAAATAATTTTAAATATAAAATTAAATATTAATTTATCATTTTATATTGGTTATATCAATTATATATTTCTTTTTTTTCTTTTACCAAAGATTAGTTTTCCACCGTGAATGTTAAAGATTTAAGAAATATATCTAAGAAAAAAGAAAATGAAATATCTAAAAAGAGAAAACAGAAATTATAAAATTAAAGTATAAATTGAAGTTGTTGAAGCTTACAGTTCCTTTTTGCAAGAAATTTCCTATAGTATAAGGCTTGCTTGGCAGATTTATTCATTGTTTTCACAAATGCTGGAACAGCCCCTTCTAAACAGAGCATAGATTTACTTCGAACTGGCCTGAGACATGTGTGTTATAAAAGGAGACAACTTAGAAGCACAAACAGAGAGAAAAGGGAGATTGGACATATTGCCATTTGCTCAGCAAGATGTAGGCTGAAGGAGAATGGAAATAGCAAGGGAAAAGTGACTCAAGGTCAGGAAAAAAATGTATGCTGATTAAAATGACAGGCCATGGGCACGATATTCCCAGGTTTCAGAAAGGAAAAGGAAAACATAGGAATAGTCTACCTCTTCTGAAGAAATAATGGCATGGCATGGCATGGCATGGCATGGCATGGCATAGCATAGCATAGAATAGAATAACTTTATTGTCACTTTAAATATACACTAATCGGCATACATTAAAATGAAATTTTGCTGCATACAGCTCTCAAAGGGTCACCACATCCAATATACGCTATATAACCATGACAGAATGAATGAATGAATGAATGAAACAAACAAATATAAATACAAAATTATGCATATAGCGACATATATTATATGACACAGAGGAACAACACAGTCTAGTTTGGATATATATACATGTACATGGCAAGAAAAACGAATCTTGCAAGTTTACCAAACAGATGGCATAGGGAACAAAGCTGTTGCAGAAAAAGAAAGGAAGGAAGGAAGGAAGGAAGGAAGGAAGGAAGGAAGGAAGGAAGGTCTGAAAATTCTGATGGGTTAAAAAAATGTTGGGCATAGAAGGTACATTGTCCCCCTCAGTTTTGGATTAGAAATGCAGAGGCTGTGATGTTACAGAGTTGGATCTATGACCATCCTTGCAACTACTCATAAATTCAACCCAACCCTTTTTATTCCCATATACAGTCATACCTTGGTACTTGGCTGCTTTGAAACTTGTCTAATTTGGTACTGGCCACATTTTGAAAATGTGGTCCTGGTTCTGGTCGTTTCTTTGGTACTCCATGCACAAGCTAGAAGATGCCGGTGTGAGCTGCCTTGTGACTCGCTACCCTTTCCAGCTAGAAAGAGCGAGCCTCGCCTCAGACACGCACCTCCTCTTGCCCTCCGCACATCCTTGCCTTGCAGTCCTCTCTTAGCTTCTGGGCTCATTTTGTGTAGTTTTGCATTTTTGTGAGGAAGTTGAAAGCTGTTATTAATGTGGGTAAACGAAAAGCAGCTGGTGGCAGGCAGTGTATCGGAAGCCACGATATGGGGAAAAGCTAAAGATTTGCATGACAATCTTTGGAAAAACAAACTGGCCCCAAGTGAAGTCTTCAAGGCTAGCCATAGCTGGTTCCATAATTTTTTTTAAAAAAAATCTCAGCACAGGTAAAGTGAAGTTTTTATTTTATTTAATCTAAGTATTTATTAATTTTTAGGCTTATTTCTCATGTAATGAGCTACAACCCTTTTACATATTGCCTTTAAAAGGTGCATTGTCTTTGGTTTGGGAACACATTAAAATTATTTACATTATTCCTAATGGGAAAACTTTCTTTGGTGCTCATTTTTGCTACTCCTGGATTGCATCTCCTGGAACCAATCCCCGATAAGTACTGAAGTACCGTGGTACTTCCGTGTTGAGCCTTGCTTCTCACCTTGGACAGAGTTATTTGCAGGACCAGCTACTTCCACCCAGACTCCTCTGCTTTTCAGGTCATCTGTGGGCCACCTTCAGCACAACAATTAATGCTACTTTTTTCTGTGGGAGCATCTATAATAAGGGGTGACTGACCACTAGAACTTATAGTATATCCTTCCTTGTCATTTGAGGGTAAAACTGAAAAAAAAAAGCATGCCTTTTAGGTGCTCGATTGACCACTCTACTTAATACATATGTCACATATTCCCAAAAAGTTTGACAATCACCAATATTGTAAAAAGAACCTCTCCAAAATGAATAAACCTCCCCAAAATCCCAGCAACATAAGGGGAAAAGATATAGATGCTTGAGCGATTTGCCCAATGGATCCCAGCCTTTGTCACTGTCTTCTGACTCTCTCTGGGTCACCTTGTGGTGCGTTTGCAGCCCTGATCTGAGAGCCCTAAACAACAATGGCTGATGTACAAACAAGACAAACAAATGGGTTTATCTGGAAGGCTGTGCTAACGTTCCATGCACAAACTCACCCAGGCACAGGTTTCGGGTGCTCTGGGCCACACAAATACCTCTCGGGCATTTGGGTCCATGCAGAGAAAGGCAGCAGATTTTGTAACAGCTTTCTTCCTCGTGCCATCCGACTGGTAAACTTGCAAGGTTCCTTTTTCTTACCATGTACACGTATACATCTGGATCTCTGTGCCATAGAATATATGTGGGTGTATGCATAATGCTGTATGTTTGTTTTGTCATGTATATATAGTGTATATTAGAGGTGATGACCCTCTGAGAGCTGTAGGCAACGAAATTTCATTTTAATGTATGCTGATTAGTATACATTCAAAGTGACAATGAAGTCTATTCTATCCTATCCTATTTTATTCTAGACACACTATACTACACTACACTATATCTTGAAAGTACAGTGGTCTACGCACCCTGTTATTAACACAGCTGCCTGCAATTTACTGCTGGTTCGAATCTCTCCAAGGCTCAAGGTTGACTCAGCCTTCCATCCTTTCTAAGGTAGGTGAAATGAGGACCCAGTTTGTGGGGGCAACAAGCTGACTTTGTACAAATATACAAAAGTATGAAGGCTATTGCTTAAGGCACTGTAAGCCACCCTGAGTCCCCGGAGAAGGGCGGCATATAAATCAAATTAAAAACAAAACAAAACATGGGGCAGGCAAGTCCAGATGTGATTTGCCAGGAGCTCTGGGCAAGGCTTGGGAAGGACCAGCCAGGCAGGGGAGAGTCCTGGAGGGAAGAATCAGATCTGACCCCCGGAGCCTCCTCCCCCTCTCCCATGCCCAGGTGGAGGCTGGCATCGGGGCATCTGCTGGGTCCCAGGCAGCATTTAATCCAGGGGGCCTGAGCGCAAGTGGGGGAAGGCCGAGGCAGAGAGAAGGCAAAGGGGGGAGGGGGCCACACCCCAAAGCCCCCCCCCGGCCTTTGCTCCTGCTGGCACCCAGGCAGCCCAGCGTGGTTGGGGGAAGGAGGAAACGACGGTGGCTTCTTCCCAGGTGGGAGAAACGGCCTCTGCCCGTCTCCTCGCTTGGCTTGGATGCCATTTGCGCACCTAACACGCCGGGCCCGACGTGCAGCCCCAGCCGAGGCCTCCTCCGGCCGGGCCGCCTGGCGCTCAGCCGCCCCTGCTCTACCTTCGGCCACCCCGCGCAGCTTCGCCGCCCCACAACCCACCGACCCGCTGCCAGGCTGCGGGGGGGGGGCGGAGGGGCGAGGAGGCGGCCCGAGCCTTGAGCGACAGCGCCGCTTAGCGGCCGAGCAGGGAAGAGCGCCGCCACCGCTCCGGCTCTGGAGCCCCTCGGAAGAGGGTCGCTGCGTGGCCGGAGGGTCTCGGCCGCCCCCGGCTCCCCGCGGGCGGCGGCTGCCGGAGCTGCGGGCTCCCGGGGCCGCCGGAGCCAGGACGCCCCGGTTGCCGTCGGAAAGAGCCGCCGGAGCCCCGCTCGACCCCGCAAGCGAGCCCCAAGCGGCCCGGCGTGGCTGATGGGCCGCGTAGTCCGCCGCCCCCGAGCCGGCTGGCTGCGGGCAAGGGCGGAGGCCGGGCGGGCCCGCCCGACGGCGCCCCCGCTCCTTCCCCGCGGCCGCCCAGCCCTCCTTCCCTCCCTCCCTCCCTCCCTCCGGCGCGGCGCGGGGCGGGGGTGGGCGAGGTGGGCCGTATATAAGGGCCCCGCGGCCGGGGCGGCGGGAGAGGAGCGAGCGCGCTATGCCGGCCGCAGGCGGGGCGGCCCGGGGGCGGCCGGCCTGAGGGGCTCGATGGGCGAGGTGGGCGGCTTCCTGGGCTCCCTGGAGCTGCACGGCTTGTCGGGCTCCCTCGGGGCCGCGCCGCTGCCCGACCCGCCGGCCTTCCTGACGGAGCGGCTGGGCCAGATCGAGGGCCGGCTGCAGCGCGGCTCGCCCACCGACTTCGCCCACCTGAAGGGCATCCTGCGCCGGAGGCAGCTCTACTGCCGGATGGGCTTCCACCTCGAGCTCTTCCCCAACGGCACCGTGCGCGGCACCCGCCAGGACCACAGCCGCTTCGGTAAGCCCGCCGGGGACCCCCCTCAGCCTCCGGGACGGAGCCCGTCGAGGGGCCGGGCGCGGCTTCCCCAACGGGAGGCAGGCCGGGAAGGAGCCGCTGCCCAGAAAGGGCGTCCCGAGAGCCGGGGAAGCGGCAGGTGCTTCGGGGACGGACGCCAAGCGGGGCGCTGCGCTTCTCTCTGCCGGCGCTTTTCGTCCCCCGCAGGCCGTGGGCTGGCATTGCGAGGAGCGCTGCGGGGGGCCGGGGCTGATGCGGGGTTGCCGGAGGAGCAGGAGGCGGCTGTCGCCCCTGTGCTGCCCGGCCTGAGGGCTTCTTCTGCCTCCCTGCCTTGCACCGCAGCCTCTTTTCTGGCCGCTACGAGGCCGCTTCCAAGCAGGCTCCGCCAGGCTGGCTCCGAAGTTGGGCTGATGGACTTGGGAAGGCTCTGACGCGCTTCTTTCCCGGAGCAGTTGCGGAACAAGAACCCCCCCACACACACACACCCACACACCCACAGTGACAGGCGACCACTCAGCCAGGCCGCCTCTTCACCCGCCTCGCCTCGCCTTGCTCCGGGGGGGGAGCCTGGGGGGGGCTGGCTTTTGGCGTTGGTGGGGTCCCCTGAAGAAAGGGGGGGGAAGAGGCCCTGCCGGCGCCTGGCCTGACCTGAGCTGGCCGGGCGCACAAACAGACCCAGGCAGGCAGGTTTGAAGCGAGCTCTCAGGGGAGAAGCGGAGGGTTCCGTCTGCAGCCCTTAGGAAAGCGGGAGGGGGAGGGGCAGGGCTAGGAGTCAGGGCCAGGAGAGCAGCTCCGGGCCGGCCTTCAGTCGCTTTCCCTTCCCTTTGCTCAAAGGCAGCAGCTGTGCCCGTTTTCTGCAGACAGGCAGGGTGAAGATGGGCTGTTAACTGAACTCCTCGCCTGATAAATTGCAGCATTCCACAAGGGATTCCTTGTGCACAGTCACTCACGCCCTCCTCACCTCTCGCCTGGACTACTGCAACGCTCTCTACATGGGGCTCCCCTTGAAGAGCACCCGGAGGCTCCAGCTGGTCCAGAACGCAGCAGCACGGGTAGTGATGGGAGCAACATGGCGCTCCCATGTAACACCACTCCTGCGCGAGCTGCACTGGCTCCCGGTGGTCTTCCGGGTGCGCTTCAAGGTGTTGGTTATCACCTTTAAAGCGCTCCATGGCATAGGGCCTAGCTATCTTCGAGACCGCCTGCTGCTACCGATGACCTCCCATCGACCCGTGCGCTCCCACAGAGAGGGCCTCCTCAGGGTGCCATCAGCCAAACAATGTAGGCTGGTGGCCCCAGGGGGAGGGCCTTCTCTGTGGGGGCTCCCACCCTCTGGAATCAGTTGCCCCCGGAGATAAGAAGAATCCAGGACCTCAATGCCTTCCGTCGTTCCCTGAAAACCTATCTTTTTCAGCAAGCCGGGTTGGCTTAAGAAGAAATTTTTAAAATTTTTAAATTCTTTTAATTAGTCTGTGATTCTTAACTTTCGGGCCAAAATTTATATATATTTTTAAATGTTTTAATATTTGTATTCTATGTTTTTTATCTTGGCTGTACACCGCCCTGAGTCCTCAGGGAGAAGGGCGGTATATAAATTGGAAATTAAAATTAAATTAAAAATTAAAGTGCTTCAGCTGCTGGTATCCAGCTACCTACATGAGAACCGCTTCTGCTTTTAAATATTATGAATTCCTGCCTCTTCCCAAGAGAGGGCGATTTGTTGTGATTGGAGGAAGAGGCGGGGGATTCGGTTAAGGGGGCAGAAGGAACCAGGTGGGACGGCCGCCTCTGCTTTCCAGCCACCCTGAGTAGATCAAAGGAAGAGTATTAACTCCGGGGCTTCATCCTGGATTTTCTTGTAGGCCAAAGAAGACCACAAGACATAACTTCAGGGATTTTAATTGTACCTAAGATTAAGCTTGGTTTCAGATAAAACAATGTTTGTAAAGAACAGAGACCCCCATTTGGGGGTCAGTGGGTGTGATTGGAACCCGGGGAGAATGTTGTGGAGACGCTTACAAAATGGCAGCCTTGGGAAATGGGCCAGTCAAAGAGGCACCTTTGCCAGAAGACAAGGGGAAGATTGTCTCCCATTTCGTTGTCCAAGAAAACCTTTAGAATCTCTTTTGGGAATCAAATGAATGGTTAGAAATTCAGTGATGCCTGAGCCAGATGTTTTACGCCAGGCTAACTTCCCCTTGACCCCAACCTGAAGGAGTTTTCATATTTTGATGTAATGGTAGACAAAACAATTCAAAGAAGATCGGCTAAATCCTTGCCATCTGTCTTGCCTTGCCCAGATCCAGCCATCTGTTAAGAAAAGGAAGTAGGTCAGGTGTTAGCCTAGGCAACCTGCTGCCTGCTTTTCCACGAGGGATCTGGGAAGGGACCCCTCAGCCAGGAAAGCAGGCTTGGAGACACCCAGCCTGGCCTTTACGCTTGGTAGCCGCAGAGTTCTGGGTTCAGATTCTCTGTGAAGATGAACAGATGTGCTTATAAGTAAGTGGAAGAAGAAGAAGGAGGAAGAGGAACCTGCAGGAAGGTTCTTGCAGGGAGTTGCCTATCTGGCTAGCAGGACAGAGTTGGAGAGGCTGAGGCTGCTCAGAACAGCACTTCCATTTTGGCTCCTCCTCTTTATTGATTAGACCTTTTCTCCTCGTGCTGAAGTCGGATTAGTCCTTAGCCCTGCATTGCAGGGCAGGTAGCTCTCCACTCCAGCCAGCTGCTCTTTATTGCAGGATCAAACAGCACCATGTTGGACCAAGATGGGAAAACGCCTCCTGCCCTCTGGGCTTTCTGGGGCCAATGAGCCCTGAAAGTCGAAAGAGACAATCTTGGCTTTCTGTGCATAAGGAGATGGCATGCCAAGCCACCACTGAGCAAGAGAGCGACCGGAATGAGGTGGGATTTGGCCTAGAAGCTGTCCCACAGATCAGCGTTTCTCTTTATGACCGGTGGACTGCAACTCCAAGAATTTCCCAGCCAGAATGGAATTCTAGGAGCCGAAATCCCCAATTCTTAAAGCACACTAGCTGGGGAATTCTAGAAGCTCAAGTCCAGCGATTTTAAAGTTGCTGAAGTTGAGAAATGCTACTGGAGACAGTGGCTCTATAGAGCTGTAGAGGTGACTTTGATGTGTCTCTCAAGGGACCATTTATCACAGAGGATCGGACTTCACCTAGGCGCTGCTGGTGGCCGCATTTTCTAACCCAGTGGTTATGTAGACTGGAAGGATTGGAAGGGATCTTGTACAGCAACCCCACCAATGCAGAAATCCACTTGCTGGGCCAGGGGGGAAATGCATTGCAGCCCTCTTTTATTTCCTGATACCTGGCCATTTCAAAGTTGGGGGACTTTTTAAAAGTCAACATGCTACTCTTTTGAAGCAGTTTATCCTCCTAGGGGATTTTTTCCCCATGTTTTAAACATAAAGTTTCTGTTGCTAGTTAATGCAGACTTTTTTTTGAGCAATTTTTTTTAACTGAATGCAGGACAGACTGATTGTGTTAGAAAACCAGGAAGAAGCTGTCCCCAAAATATAAATGACTGGCAGATCTTTGAAATGGGAAATTGTTGCTTGGACAGAATACCGATGGAGAAGCTGGGGTGAAGTTGCCCTCCTTAGATTTTCTTCAATTAACAAAGTTGGAAGGTACCTTGTAGGTCATCTAGTCCAACCCACTGATCTTATTGTGGCCTTTCTTGTGGCCATCCTTGCCCCATTGTTGGAGGGCAGAGTTGGCTCTCCTGGAGGAGGAAGTGCAGGGGAGATGCCAAAACCCAAGTGAAAATAAGGGAAGCTTGGTTGTCTCTGGGCAAGACCTCTCGGGGAACTTCAACCAGTGGTGGTGGAAGCAGAAGCCGGCCAGACGGTTGGTATCATTTATATGTCTCTGCGAAGTAACAGTACAACGCATAGACATACAATGATCCTGCAAGGCGGGCCAGGGGTATGGCTCCATTCGGTGAGATAAAGGCTGAAGCTGAGCTCACCTGGACAGTGGACAGCAGGAGTTAGCTTTGAGCAAGGAGGAGCGTTGACCAAGACAAGCTCCTTTGTGACTCAGCACGGAGAATAAAAAACGGGGGCTGAAAGTCCCCTCCGCCGTGCCTTTCTCCTGGCAGACCTTCAAAGGCAGCGGGTGATCGAGGCGGCTGGTGGGGGGCTTTGAAACACAAGAAGGCTTTTGGCAGAAGCAAATTTCTGGGAACACGTTTGGTGAAGCGGTGTGTGTGTGTGTGTGTATTCATGTTGCTAGTGCTGCCTTGTCCTTCTCATCCATGCACAGAAAGGGGTTTGTGCCAGCACTGGTCTTCGTTCCCCAGACCTGAACAGAAGGGCTCCTCTTTTTGCCTGAGAGCCCAATTTCTTGCTTGGGATGAGAATTTCTGAGTTTGCTGCAGCCCTGATCCATGGTGGGAGGAAGCTATGGGGCCGTGTGCTTGAGTTCCTCTTTTCTCCTGGAGCCCCTCTGCTGCTGGGAAGATTCCCCCCCCCCCCCCAAAATCCCTCCAGCGTTAACATGCAGCCCCTGTGCACCTGTTTCCAGGCAGCTGTTGGGTGGGGGGTGGGTGTTGAAAGTTTAGCTCTGCAGATCTGAGTACAACATGCAGCTTGTTCAGGAGCCCCACAGCCAGGGCCTCCTGCCATCCCCAGCTCGTAGGAGGAGAGACAGGTGCAAGCGGCTGGCCGGCCGAAGTCGTCACGAAGCGATTGTCTTCGTGCCAGGACAATGACTGGCAGCTGTGGGGGAAGCTGAGAGAGAGAGAGAGACGGGTTTTCCAAACCTCAGGAATTCCAGAAGCCAATCTGGAGAGGCTCCAAAGAAGAAACGCAGTCGCTGGCTGCAGGAGGAAAGAGCAAGGAGGGCTTGGGAAGCAAACCCCACTTGGCCACCAAAACCACGAGAAAGTGGATTCTTGATCCTCGCCCAATAGCCATGCCCAGAGCTGCAAAAGCTTTAAAAGGCACCTAAGCTGACTTTGATTTGGCTGCTGAATGTTGCAAACCCCTAGGAATCGGCCTTTCCCTCCAGGAAGTCTGCAGGGTGTGGTCAAAAAAGACAAGATGGCAGCTGATGGTGATGTTGAAGCTCGGCCTGTTTTTGATGTCCAAACAGGTGGAGAGCTTTGATCACACCATCACAGTCACCATCTGGGCTTTTTTGACCAGACCCTGCAGAGACCTCGGTTTTCCTTCTTTCATCTAAAGCAGGGGGATCACAAACTCAAGGCCCTCAGGGTGCTTAGATCAGGCCCACGGGGCCGCCCTGGAAAGAGCGAAGGACCGGCCTGCGGTGCCTCTGCCAGTGAAAACGGGCTCCCGACCTCCGTTTTCGTTGGCAGAGAGTTGCAGGAGGCCATCCCAGCCGAAAACGGAGATTGGGAGCCCGTTTTCGCTGGCAGAGCACTCGGGCCACCACAGGCGCCCCTGACACGAGTGACGTCAAGCTGCCATGCCCACCCTGGCCACACCCAACCCGGTCCCCCGAGGCCACACACAACCCTGATGCGGCCCTCCATGAAATCAAGTTTGACGCCCCTGCTCCAAAGCCTCTTGTGGGCGTGACATTCTCCCTTTGGGATCTAGAGTCTCAGTCACCGAGGTTGGCAATCTATGAGGCCGACTCTGATTTCTCTGCGGATTTGGATTAGGACCTTCAGAACCTCCCCCAAAACTTGGAGCAGGTTACAATATAGGCTGAATAGACCAATGTTGCCCAGAATGATTTCAGAAAAAATGGAGAAGAAATTGTATGTATGGGATTGTGTGTGTAAAAATGCTCCCAGCAATGGAAGTAGCAGACGGGGGTTCCTTCCCTGGGCACCATCCAATAAGGGTTTAGGGTGCTGTTCAGTCACCCAAGAGCAACCAGGATTGAGAGAAGATAGGGAACGTTCAGATCTTCATTAGTTGGACTCTGCAGTGTTTCAGTTTCAGAAGCCAAGGAGTGCTTCAGAGCATGAAGGAACGGAGGCCGCTCCATCCACACCTATTTAAAGCAGCCGCATCTTTTCCCAGGATCGCAGTCTCACACTGTCAACTTATCCTTCAGTGCTAGGATAGGATTTTGAAACTGCCTTTCCAGATTTGGACCAAGCGCAGTGGCCATCAGAACTGGAAACGGGTGCTATGTGGACATTTCCACCTGCCCCAAAGTTCTTTCATGCCTTCAGAGGTGAAGTTCAGCTCTGCTTTCTAGTGTGACTACAAACAACAAACACTTTGATGCTTGTTGAAAGACAGGAGTTCCCTCTGTGAAACAAGGCAACTCAGGTTATCGGAGCTGTTCCGTGACAGTAAGGCAATGGCTGGCATGGTTTAAAGTCCAAAAGGTGGCTTGGAATGAGGTTATAATAATGGATTCCACACTTGCAGTGGGTTGGCCGATGATTCACAAGGTCTCTTCCGATCCTGATATTCTATGATTCTGTCACCTACCAAGGATACATTTAGCCTGATGACATCCTTGTTTGCACAGGGATTCTTGTGATTGGATCATGAATGTGAAAGCCTCATTGTAATCTCTCCTGTAGTATATTGTATTAAGTCCTTTCCAAGTAGTACTCAAAAACCTTAGAGCTTGCAAAGGGAAGATGGAAATGGAATCTAATGATGGTCTGACGAATGGCTGGACATCCTAGAAGCTCTGCAAATAAAATCAACGCTTCCTCATTTTACTCTTTGAATAATTACCTCCTTTGCCAATTTTTCTGGAGTTGGCCTGTCATGAGCTTCCGTTGATACAGTTAGATGCTTTTACAGTCCGATGTTCTTTATTGGCCCTTGACATGATGGTAAACTAATTCCTTAACTCAAAGTTTAGTAATTTCATTCTTACAAGTGGGAGGTTCTGGGCTGAGATTCTCTACTGTCTGTAAGGTCGGCGTTTTCAGTGGTCTACAACAAGATTGGAGGAAGAGGGTAGTAGAGTGAACCCTAGATATTTCCTCCAGTGACGAGATTCATGACTCATCTCTGTGCTTCACTGCTGAAAAGATATTTGGACAGCACTCCGGTTGTTATCGAAGTGCTCTGGGCAGGTTCCACGTCATTGCAATTCCTGACATTTATCGAAATCCAAGAAAACGGGGAGAGGGAGAGGAGCTCTGGGCTTCCAGAAGAGTGTCATTTTGTGCTTGTTGGTGAAAGGATGGGGGGGGGGGTGTTTGCCTCTCCTCATCATACTCTGTTTAGAGGAGCCCTATATATAAAATGCAGGCTATAGACAATATACTTGCAGATAAGCTGAGAATTTTAGGTGCTAATAAACACACCCCAAATTTGATTCGGCTTATCCGTGGTTGGGCTTATCACAGATACAGTAATATCTTGTATATACGGTATTCACATTTATATCTGCAGATATGCCAAATCTCAATTTTTTTAAATCAAAACATCCTGGAAAATGCAGGTTGGCTTATCCGTGAGTGGTACTTTTTTCATTTTGATTTAAAATTTGAGGCTCTGTTATCTAGGGATGGGCTTGTACAAGAGTATATATGTTAGCCTGTCTCTTTCCCGGGTTTCATTTCTTCAAAGGCTCAGCCTCCCCCTGGTTTTTGCTGAATGCTCAGACTGGTGCATGCCAAGCATGGTGCAAATGTGATGGATCATTTCTTGAATGTCAAGGAGTTGACTGTATTGGAGCCCTCTGTGATGTTTAACTTGTCACCTTCCTTCTTTGCATATGCAAGGTTTCCCAATTGAAAGGACTGCGTCCACACCCCTGAGGAGATAGTAGGGCTGGGTCTGTAAGATCTCCAAGGTGATATGGCTAGGAAAGTTCGTTGCTCAAGAAGAGCGAAGTTTTTTCTCCCTTTTTCATTCTTCAAGTAACTCTGGTGTTTTTTTGTTTTTTTATCTTTTTAAAGGAATTTTGGAGTTTATAAGTTTGGCTGTAGGACTGGTTAGTATCCGTGGAGTGGATTCTGGCCTTTATCTTGGAATGAATGAGAGAGGGGAGCTGTACGGATCGGTAAGTATAATGATTACAACCTTCTGACTTTATCAGAATTTGATATTATTCAGAATGACCTCCCTTAAATGACCTTGATCTGTTGGCCATTTGGATGATTCTAAGCAATAGGACAGCTGGTGCGTTTATGGCCCTGGCAAGAGCCACGAGCTGCAGGAACCTTTTCTTGAGAAGGAGAAAGATAATATATAGCAAACACCAAGATTAAAATTGCAAAAAAGAATTCCAGACTAAATTGCAAAGGTCCAGAGCCACAATGGAGATGATGTAACCCCTTTCGGCCTCACCTTGTATGGAAGGCTAGACTTTGAGCGGCATCAAAGTTTATTATAGCTTTCCTTCCCAGGAGCCAGTGTCTTGGCTGCAGTCCCCATCTGCGGTGATCTTGGAGCCGAGGAAAATAAAATCTGTCACTACCTCCATTTCTTCTCCATCTATTTGCCAGGAATTGAGCAGGACGGATGCCATGTTCTTAAATTTTCTTAATGTTGCGTTTCAAGCCAACTTTTACACTCTCCTTCTTTACCCGCATCAAGAGGCTCTTTAGTTCCTCTTCACTTTCTGCCATTAGAGTGGTATCGTCTGCATATCTGAGGTTGTTGATATTTCTCCCAGCAATCTTAATTCCAACCTTTGATTCATCTGGTCCTGCCTTTCTCATGATGTGCTCTGCATATAAATTAAATAGGCAGGGTGACAGTATGCAGCCTTGCTGGACTCCTTTCTCCATTTTGAACCAATCAGTGGTTCCATGTCCAGTTCTCACTGTTGCTTCTTGACCCGCATGTAGGTTTCTCAACAGATAAATAAGATCTCTTTGAGAATTTGCCACAATTTGTTGTGATCCACACAATCAAAGGCTTTAGCATAGTTAATGAAGCAGAAGTAGATGTTTTTCTGGCACTCCCTAGCTTTCTCCATGATCCAGCGTACGTTGGCAATTTGATCTCTAGTTCCTCTGCCTCTTCAAAATCCTGCCTGTACGTCTGTTAGTTCTCGATCCACATACCGCTGGAGCCTAGCTTGTAAGATTTTGAGCATAACATTGCACTCATGTGAAATGAGTGCAATGGTGCGATAGTTTGAACATTCTTTGGCATTGCCCTTCCTTGGAATTGGAATGTAAACTGACCTTTTCCAATCCTGTGGCTACTGTTGAGTTTTCCAAATTTGCTGGCAAATTGAGTGTAGCACTTTTACTCCATCGTCTTTTAAGATTTTGAATAGCTCAGCTGGGACACTGTCTCCTCCACTAGCTTTGTTGTTGCTCAGATTTCCTCAGGCCCATTTGACTTCACATTCTAGGATGTCTGGCTTGAGGTCCGTGACCAGCCCATCATGATTATCGGGAACGTTAAGCTCATTCTTGTATAGTTCTTCTGTGTAATTTTGCCACATGAGCCTTCCCATTCGGGTATTACAGCATTAGTGGCAACCACTACCCCTGTGCCCCCAGGTGGGGCAGGAAGGGTCATGTGACTTCAAAACAAGAGAGGGGGGTAGCCATCTCTGTTAACAACCCAAAGTCTGGGGACATTTAGCCCTTTGAATGTGAGCAGATATCTCCCACACCTGCCTCCTGCTTCTCCCAGAGTATCTTTTGGCAGGAGAGATTAACAGGGTACCAAGTCCGAGGTGGGATCCTCAGACCTGCCCTCACCACAGGCTTTCTCAGTGGGGAAACCACCTACGCTGCCTTTCCTCCTCATTGTCCAAGAAGTGACCCCTTTGAGTTGGTTTCTCCAGATGAGCTTTCCTGCTGATCTGTCCAGCTCTCTCCCACGTGAAGTTAACTAACATGAATTATATTCCCTTGATGGAGGGCATGTCCACCCTCCCATTTTTGTTGGTGCCTTGTGGTCCTAGGGACACCACCCCTGGCCTAGCCAAGAAGGGTATTACTGAGCAGCTAACCCCAAGGTTCCTCTGGAGCTTCCATCTCTTCTGGCCCAAGGAGGGCAATGCCCTGGAAGGGTGGAATTTGACCTCCGCCCATTCAGCAGAGACCACGGCTGCTCTAGGCCAGGGGGAGTACTGAGGTCTGAGTGTTGGCTTTGAGTTGCCCGCTCCTTCCTGTGCCCTGCTCTGATGCCCCATGTTTTAGTGGGACCCCAAATTGGCAAATGGAGGAGAATACATCCTAAGGTTTACTCTAAGGCAGTGTTTCTAAGGCTGGGGGATTCTGGCAGTTGAAGTCCACCCATCTTCAAGCTTCCAAGGTTGAGAAACACTGCTCTAAGGGCAGAACTAGGACATCAGGTTCACATTCAACCTGCAGCACCAACTTTACATTTCAATAATGTAACAAGCGCCTGTTTATATCGTAAGATTCTGAAGGCAAATGACACCCACATCCCACCCTCCTGTTTTTGGGGGTGCTGAAGAACAAAAGGAAAATCAATCCACCCAGGGCAAAAGCCCAGGATCTGTTAAGGGGAGCCAGGATATTTTGGTCAATGTCCAATAATAAAACAAGTTGGAATAGAATATAAACAATCACACAGATATAATATAATATAAAATATAACATCAAACACAAAGTCTTTAAAATAAAGCTAATACTAAATAATTAATCAAAATTGAATAATGTGAGTGCAAGGGCTCAGTTTCCATACTTTCACAAGCAGCTAAGCAGTTGTCCCTTTGGGGCTTGGTGGACCCATAATAGTGTTTAAAAACAACAATTCCTTACAGTTAAATATTCACACAGCGTAAGTTGCTCCTTAGTTATTTCTTTGATCCTGTCTCTGGAGCACTCTAGTGCAACTTGAAAAATAGACAACTTCCGGAATGGGAGGGCAGCCCCCAAAGGAGGACAACGAAGCGGCTTCATCATCTCCAACGGAGGCATATCGTTGCCATTGTTCAGGGTGCCTGAGCAAAGCAGATGCCAGCTTCTAAGACCACAGAAGCAGGGATCATAGATCACAATAAGCCAAGGGATTTCTAACCACAAATTGCTGCGTAAGCCACTTTGGGCTGGGTTTACACAACATGCAAAGCCAGAAGTTTAGAAACCATAGGAGTTGTGTTGGCCTTTGTGCCATGTAGGGTTTATTGTCGGCTTCCATTCCTTCAGGATGAAACATACAAATTGACATTGGGATGGGCTAATTTTTTGCACAGAACTGCAATAATCCAACAATAATCAGCCCTAATACACGAAGTTCTGGTGAACAAGAGAAAGAGAAAATGTAATTGTCCATCTTGATCCTCTAAGAAGGAGGTCCAGATAGAAGTCACTCAGTTATTAGTCATCCTTGGGTTGAGTCAGGGGGATTTTTCCCTTTATCGGGATCGTTTTTCATGTCTCTTTTGTTTCCTTCCCACCTCCTGCTCACACAGAAGAAGCTCACACAGGAGTGTGTTTTCCGCGAGCAATTTGAAGAAAACTGGTATAACACCTACGCCTCGACCCTCTACAAGCACACGGACTCTGAGCGGCAATATTACATTGCTTTGAACAAAGATGGATCTCCCCGAGAAGGATTCAGGACTAAGAGACATCAAAAATTTACTCATTTTTTACCCAGGCCAGTAGATCCTGCTAAGATACCTGCTGTGTACAGAGACCTTCTGCGCTACAGGTGATACTCCCTGCAGCTTGAGAACAAATATGAAGGCCCATGATTGTGTAACATATATACATGTACACAGTTGGGTTTCCAAGTTTTTGCTGGAGCACTATAAGCCTATGCATTTCATCCCTTCTGCAAGCCTAGTTAACCCGTAGAGAAGCCCTGGCCTCGGATCCCTTGGCTTTCAGAGAAGGGTATAACACAGGTGGATTTCGTCTCCAGGGAGCGCGACGGGATGGGGCAGAGCCTGGAACCCTACATAGGATCGCTTTCTAATTACATGCACAATTTGGTGGGCTAGGAAGAGGAAGCAGATCAGACTGAGCAGAAGAGATGGGTGTTCGACAACCACCAGCAACATTGATCCTAGGCCATGGAACCAGGCACAGAAGAATTCAGAAATAATTTGCATTCTGCTCAAAAGCTCGCTTGCTTGCTAAACTGGCCCTTTGCAACTTGGCAGATGGTGGTGATCCGAAATCCGAGAACTCGTGGACTTGCATGGTAGTAAAGGGAAGAATCCAACTCTGTGGGATGTTTGGCTCCTCAGGAAGGCGTGTGTGAATGTGGCTTTTTCTGTGCAAGCACACACTTCGGCCTGCTTGCGTTTCCTTCCGTTGGAGTCCGATGGTAGAAAGCAGGAGGTGAGGTCAAAGAACGAGCATTTTGAAGATGTAAACACAATACTGTTCATAAGGACAAATCTATTTATAAAGTGTATATTGTATTTATTTTATATATTTATTTATTTCATATATATATATATATATATATTATTTTTAAAATGAGAGATATGATGGCCCAACTTTCTTCAGAAAGAATGAGGTCCTACTGATGTAGGCAAAAGTGGGAGGGGGGGCTTTAAAGAGCTTTATTAGCAATAAAATGTCTTTATATATTGCAGGTGGCTTATTAATTTATTGTAATCATACTGATTCATAATTTAAGATTTAAAACCATGAATGTGGTACCGACTTACAATTACAGAAAGCCTCCGAGGGTAAGTGATGGAGAGAGGCTTGGTGGGTGCTTCTGCAGAGGTTGGATTGTCTGCCAATCTAGCCCCATTCAGTTGCTATCCTACACCCAAAGTGGCGAGTTTAGAATTGTAGCCAAAACTGAATTAAATTTATGGCAACTCCATTCACCTCATATAGGAAATCTGTTTTTGAGTGGCTTAGAATTTGCCCCTCTAAGGAAAAAAAAATCTTGGTTTTCTCCAGGTTAACAATTGGGTCATTCTCACACCTGGAGAACATGAGGGGGAAGCCCAGAGCTTCCCCGTGTGGTATTGGATTACAGTTCCCAGCATGCTAAACCGGTGAGGCTGCTGGGATTCTGGAGGGCAACCAGTTCCTGGAACCCTGCCCTGAAAGACGGCAAACATCCAACCACAAGCTAGTGTGGCATTTTCTATTAAGAATTTTTCCTCATATAACCCATTCCCAGGACATCTCTACTGCCATTGTAGAACAGGCTCAACTCTCCCAGCATTCTTCTTGCTACCAGTCTTAGACCGACAAGGACATAAGACGGAATAGGAATTTCTCCATAGACTTCATAATTGCAAGATTGGTGCCTGGGCCTCTTTCTGCTCAGGATGCCTCTCCCATCCTGATGTTTTCCTCTAGCCACCATGAGGGTGAAGTTAGCGATCTTTGATGGTACTGGGTGGTACTGACGGTACTATCCTAGGCTGCCCTTAGCTGGGTTTGGATGCTAAGTAGGATGCGACTCGCTTGGCATGGATTGGGAGGGCAGTGTTTTTTTCACCTTGGCGTGTGGACTTTCATTCCCAGAATTCAGTTTGAGAGTTGAAGTCCTCACATCTTAAGGATGCCAAGATTGAAAAATTCTGCTCTAGGGAAACACGGCTGTCGGCTCGCCTGAGAAGGCAAAAACAAAGCAGAAGAAGGCAAACTGCCATTGTGCCATTGCCAAGAAAACAATATAACCATGCCAGGAAAGATTTGTATAATCATTTTAGAAGAGTTTTAGATTTCAGTCCGTTTCCATTTGGTTCCTTCTCTGGGCCCTGGGCATGTAACTATTTTCTGATCAAATTATTATCCCCTACTTATTTTTTGACTGTAACAGAATTAAGTGGTTTAAATGATACTGTGGTCCTATCTTTTTTGACTGAGAGTCATTCAGATGGATTACGTTCTCTTTGCATCATCATAGCCTTCAGTCATACTTAACTGGAAGAAATAGGGGATTGAAATCTCACACATCTGGAAAATACCCATTAAGAAAAGGACTGTTTTAATCTCTTCTTGAGTGCAATCTGGAATTCTCCTTGTTTTCCACTTTGATGATATCCCTAAAACGGGCTGGGGGAATGCTGGGGTCAAGATGAAATAATGTTTTAGGCAACGAAAAAACATTATCTAGTGTCCTGTAAATAATTCACTACATATGTGTTTATTTTTTTACCTTTAAACTTCCACTTACTCCTCTCAGGGGGAAAATCTGCAGAGAAACACACCCAACTTTATAAATGCTGAATTTAAGGTTTCAGTTGAGCTTTGGCCAGCCCTGCTACATTTTGACAATAATAGCCTTGTGTAAGAGCATGCCCTAAATTGTTTTGATCCTTTGTCATAATATGGATGCTCCGACCATGATCTTGAATAGATGAACCATGTCATTCCCCACCATTTTGAGATAAGAAACACCCCAACACCATAGTGGAGGATCTAAAATAGACCAGGCAAAATCTCACACTCTTCAAAAATATCACTAAAAATCCTGGCTTTACTCAAGTAATCTGGCCACAGCAAGAAGATCCTAAGGGTGGAGTAGATCTGTTCCCTGGGATCTTCCACCTCCCTTGTGCTCTGGAGGAGACTCTGCTTCAAAGGGGGTGTTTAGGTTAATGAAAAAGGCTCCTGGCTTAGTAACTTGAGTGAAGTGGCTTTGTAACTTACTTTTTAAAGTTTAATAAATGCACATTTAATAGTATATCAGGATATGCTCCATTTTCAATTCGCTAGGGACTTTTTGAAAGTGTATGAAATGTACACAAAGGCTTTGGCATTGCAGCTCTGGAGGTAATGAACAAGTCCTAATGCAGCAGACACACAAGGATTCCAGCTGGAACTCCCTGCCCTAAATTGACCTCCAAACTCCTCTTTAATAATGTTTTAGAGCTTAGTTAAATCGCAAAACTATTTCACATAAATGTAATTCCCAAACACAGCAAATGCAACAAGCATCTTGCTTGAAAATCTATAGTGCAGTGATGGCTAACCTTTTGGTCATCGCGTGCCACAAGCGGGGGGAGTGAGGGGTGGTGGTGGTCGCATGCGTGCTCACACCCATAATTCTATGCGCCCCGCCCCTTGGCATGCATGCATGACCCCCCACATCCCCCTGCTTTTGGCACGCGATGGCATGGTGGGCCCAGCAGGCCCGTTTTTCGCTCTCCCCAGGCTGCAGAGCCTTTCTAGGAGCCTGGGAAGGGTGAAAACGGCCTTCCCCACCCTCCGGAGGCCGGAAACAGTGTGTTTCCTGACTTCCAGTGAGCCCAGAAGGCCCGAAAATCAGCTGGCCGGAGTTGAGCTCACGTGCCCACCAATATTGCTCCACATGCCACCTGTGGCACCCGTGCCATAGGTTCACCATCATGGCTATAGTGGATTTATGGCAACTTTAAAATCCTTGATAGCAAGTGAACAGCTTTTGTTCAACTACACATCAGAGATGTCCCACACTTATTTTTTATGTCTTGATTCTAATTTGATCAGGTGGATAAATGTAATACAGGATACTTATATGTAGTATTGCAAAACACTCAATAAAACTCAACTGTTGTAAGACAAAGTCATCTTTTTTCAATCAGATAGTCATACTTCATTGTAGTATGATTCTGGTCATAGGCTGATGGTTCATGAAACCATAAAACAAATGTTCACGGATGCTTGTTTCATGAAAGAAAATAAGGAACTTCTGAGAACAAATGCAGGCAACCCATCTCAAAAGTAAATAAAGCATTTCTGTCTACTAAGTTGAATTTAATTCCTTCTGTGCACTGATGCAGTTACTATCGGTGAGATACAGATACTATTAAATTATGGGAAATCTCTTAATCCTGATGGCTATTCTTTTGCATAGCATAGAATCTTTTTTTAGCCTATATTGTTAGAGATTTATATAATCATGCTTTTTTGAATAAAATATTCCCAGCTTCCTTTGTGAGGCTTACATAACCACAATTGTGAAAGTTATTAGGGTTTCTGCCAACTGTGTACAATTTCATTCAATTTCCTTGTTAAATCTGGTGGAGAAAATTTGGATCTGTCCATCCAGGGCAATCTGATTTCCTAAAAAAAAATAATAATCTGGATTTTAGGAAAGCATTTGATACAGTTCCACATAATGAGCTCATAAAAATGTTGTTCAGGCTAGGACTTAACCACTGGGGGGTTCAGTGGGTAGGACATTGGCTCAGGGATGGGTCCCAGTATGTGACGGTTAATGGGGCTCTGTCTGAACAGAGACCAGCCACAAGCGGTGTACCACAAGGCTCAGTCCCTAACGCTGTTCTGTTCAATGTGTTTGTGAGTGATGTAACAGAAAGATTGCAAGGTAAGGTTTGTCTTTTTGCTGATGACACAAAGGGGTGTAATAGAGTTGACATTTCTGGGAGTATTCGTAACATGGAAAAAGATTTGCCATTGCTGGAAAATTGGTCAATGCTGAAGTCCATGTATACAATGTCCACAGCATTTTGCTGGTCCATTAATTTAGTCGCTTCGTCAAAGAATGCAATAAGATTTGTCTGGCATGATCTGTTTTTTGACAAAGCCATGTTGGCTTCCAGTAATAGCTTTGTTTCTAGGTGTTCACAGATCCGTTGCTTGATTATTGGACTGTCCTTTTATTTAATCCCAAAGAGGCCATTAGCATCAAAAGTCCTAAAAGGAAGAACATCTTCTTTCTCTCTGAAGCTCCTTGTGCCAAAGGAAGAGGAAGCAGACACCAAAAATGCCAGCAAATCTTAAAAAGCCAACACCACCCAGGTATGACCATCAAAGTTCAGTTGTCCTAGTAGTTGTCTGCTGGGATAGACGTTTGGGAGATGTTCTGTAATTCAGACAGCTTTTTCCAACCTTGGGCACTCCAATTATATGGAAGGTACAATAGAGCTGCACCCCTGGTGATCCAAGTGATGCTGTTGCAGATGCATACGAAGCCAGAATTGAGAAGACAGCAACAGACCGTAAGTGCCGCCTCTGCAAAGAAGCTAATAAAGTAGTGGATTACCTCTTGGCTGTGGCAAGAAGATTGCAGAGACTGACTACAAACAACAGCATGATAAAGTAGCAACAACGGTGCATTGGAAGATCTGCAAGAAATACCATTTGCCTACAAACAAGAACTGGTGGGACCATAAAATAGAGAAATGCTCTAGGATTTTAGAATTCAAACCAACAGACTATCAGCCACATTATATCCGAGACTTGGAACTGGCAAGAAGACAAAAAAAATCTGGATAGTGGACATGGCAGTATCTAAAGAGAGAGAGTGGGATAGAAGAGAAAGACCTGGAGAAGATAACAAAATACAAACAGCTGCAAATAGAAATAGAATGACTGTGGCAAAAGAAAGCAAACAGTACCAATAGTAATAGGCCCCTTGGATACAATCCCAAAATAATTGGAGCACCACTTGAATTCCACTGGCATTGACAAATTCACCATCAGTCAACTGCAAAAGACAGCTTTACTTGGAATACCTTATATCCTATGATGATATCTGTTAACACCATCTAACATCTACATTTGTTTATCCCAGGTTCTTGGGAACGATTCAATTGGCGAACAAAAATGCCAAATCCAGTCTGAACATCTGGCTGACTGTAAACAAACCATCATCACCACCATCATCAATATTGATCGATTGTACTTGCCAACATCTCGGGGGGCAGAGGACTTGACATCTCAGGAGGGCAGCAGTTGCACGAGGTCTGGGGTTGGGTGTAGGAGAGGTGCTCTCTGCTGCCTCGTAACTATCGGTGCCACAAACTGGTTGAATGGGATGATGGAGTTGATGATTTCCAGGCACTGTTGTACTGTGGCATGGGAGAGAGCATCTGCCAAAAAGATCTGCCATCTATCGGAGGGTGAAGTTAAAGCAATTGAAATATTGGTCCCACCGCACCTGTTTAGGGGACAGCTTCTAGGTTTTTGTGATCTGACCACACCTTGAAGGGGATTTTACTGCCTTCCAAGAACTGTCTCCAGATTAGGAGAGCCCATCGGACCACATAGGCTTCCTTCTCCCAGATGGCCCAGCGCCTCAGACAATTTGCAGGACATGAAGATACAGGGTTGCAGTTCTCCCTTGTCATTTTTCTGGAATAGGACCGTTCCTACAGCCACATGGCTGGCATCTGCCTGTATTGCAAATGGTTCATCTGGGTTGGGGTGTTTCAGGAGCGGCTCCGCAACAGAGATGCTTTAGTTTTTGAATGCTGCTCGGCACTCGAAGGACGAATCCAGAGGCTGCCCAGGTTTAGATTTTTCCCCTTTCCCTGTTTTAAGCAGGTTGGTGACTGGCAGAGCTATCTGGGCGAACGTAGGGATGAATTGGCAGTAGAGGTTCACAAAACCAAGGAAACTGCAGCTGCCACCTGGTTTGAGGGACTTCCCACTCCACTATTGCCTTCACCTTGCCAGGATCCATTTCCACCCCTTCTTTCAAGATTCAGTATCCCAAGTAGTCTTAAGCTGGTTTTATGAAAGTCACACTTAGATAGCTTTGCGTAGAACTGGGCCTTTCACAATTTTTTGAGAACAGCCCTGACCAGCTTCATACGCTCCTCTGCAGTTTTGCTGTAAATCAATATATCATCCAGGTACATCAAGACCTCTTTGTACAGGTGCTCTTGCAGAACTAACTGCATGGATATGGCCAGCGCCTCCTACAGGCCAAATGGCATCACCCTGAACTGGTAGCAGTCCAAGGGGCAATTAAATGCCATCTTCCATTTGTCTCCTTCCTTGATCCTCACCCTGTAGTATGCCTCCCTGAGGTCAGATTTGGTGGAGATCCTCCCCTTTAGATATCCTAGCATGTCTCTCATTGGTGGGAGAGGTTACATATTCTCTATGCTGATACAGTTCAGACCTCTATAATCCGCACACAGTCTAAGGGACCCATTTCTCTTCTCTTTAAACAGTACTGGAGCCACCATCCTTGACTTTCCTGGCTGAATAAAATCCCTAAGTAGGTTCTTGTCTATAAACTCCTGGAGTTCCCCCACCTCTTTGGGCAATTGGATGGAGCACCATTTGTACATGATCGACATTGACAAATTCGCCATCAGTCAATTGCAAAAGTTGGCTTTACTCGAAACAGCTTCTATCCTGCGACAATATCTATAGCACCATCAAACATCCAGATGTGCCTATCTCAGGTCCTTGGTAAGGACTCAATAGGTAAATAAAAATGCCAAACCCAGTCTGAACATCTGGCTGACTGTGCAATGATCAACAACAACAATGTTAGGACTTGAACTATTGTTTTTATCAGTCCCAGACTGTGAATCGAATTTAAGATTAAACCTATAATAATAACAATAATGATAATAAAAATATCTGGAAGATGCTAATTTGGTGAGAGGTCAACTGAGTTCACCATTGTACTACTACTTCCCCATATAATTGGAAGTGTTTGGTTTAATTGGAAAGACTTTTTCATTGGAACAATAGGCTAAAATGTGTTAAATAATGCAAGTTTTACTTTATTTAACATTATATATATTAGGGTGTGTCAAATTTTTCAACTTTCAATTTCCAAACATTAGGGGTGCTCAAAAGTTGTGACATGTCTTGGGGACTGGAAAGATATTTTGGTTACTTTAATATAATTTAGATGTTCTTGGTAACTACATAAATATCGTAACTTTTCAGAACAGCAATTCTCCAGTACCATCAAAGAACATTATTCTGTGTGAAGTAAGCCGGATGGAAGATATCTTTATCATTTCACTCCAGAGAAAGGCTCAAAAACAGGAAAACCTGCTCAAGTGATTGCAGATAATCTGGTGCATTTCGTGAAAAAGAAAGGCATTGACAAAGCCTTGAAGGCCATTGGAGGAGATTCTACAAATGTTAATACTGGCTGTGAAGGGGGTGCCATGCACTGGGTAGAGGTCAAGCCAGATCATCCACTCTGCTGGAGCTGACTGACTGGTCTGAAGGTGTACATGAGCCACTTTTGACATGCGAACTGACTACAGCGAAAATAAAGAAGTTCATTGACAAACCAATGCAAGTACCACAGTGGCCCTGTCCTGCCCAATCAACAGAAAGATGTGGGAAACAGGTCACAGAGGTGTAGACACAGGAGAAACATGACGGTTATATCAGAGGCCAAGAAGCAAGTCAGTGGCTGATGTTGAAGAACGAATCAAAACAAGGCTCGATGAAACTTGTTTAAGCAGTTTTGTAACTCAGATTTCTTTCTGATGTTTTTTTTTTTTTAATTTGATTTATATGCCGCCCTTCTCCGAAGACTCAGGGCGGCTTACAATGTGCTCGGCAATAGCCTTCATTCTTTTGTATATTTATACAAAGTCAGCTTATTGCCCCCACAAACTGGGTCCTCATTTCACCTACCTTAGAAAGGATGGAAGGCTGAGTCAACCTTGAGCCTTGGCGAGATTCGAACCCTGCAGTAATTGCAGGCAGCTGGTCTTAATAAGCTTAATAACAGGGTACCTTAAACCCCTGTACTACCAAGGCTCTCTCATGTTAGTTTGTGATTGCATGAATTATTTTTTGCTTAGCTAGATAAGATTCATGCAGAATTTTTTAAAAATCTATGTAGCACTATGTGCAATTTTGAAAAAATAAAGTTAACCGTATTTGTGGGGTATAATGATCAGACGTGGATTTACCATACCAAGCTACATGTTGTGCAATTGCAAAAATAACATATTTGAATTCTTGGTGTAAAAACACACATTTTTAGAACCCCTCACTGGAAAAATTAGCAAAAATTAATTTAAAACCCAGCATCCGGGGCCTGCTAGACTCAGGCTGCACCGGGTGCCTGGTTAACCCAGCCCTGGTTGAGAAGT